TCCAGGGGATCCATTTCACTCTTTCTTCTCTTCCTCAAGTTGCTATATTGTAGTGTCTGGACACCAAATCTTGAGAGGCTCTTTCTCTGCTGCCTTCCATTCCACCATCTTCCCAGAGGTCCAAGGGACTAATTTTTAGAAGTTTATTTCTGCTATTAAAGTACTGAGACGCAGCTAGACTCAGGTCAGTGAGCGCCTCCTGGAAGAAATGCCTCTTAGATCTACAGCACTTAGTAATGCTGTGGGAAACTGCTCTAAAGAACAGGGAGGAGCTTCTTATAAGAAATTTTTACAGTCATCAACATTGTTTTGAGTTAAAAAAAAAAAACAGCTAACACACCAAAAAGGACAAGTAAATATAAACTGAAAAACAATACTATTCACTTTCATGAAATTATTTAGGAACCTACTGATTTTTCTACTGCCCAGAAATGAGACTCACACACACACACACACACACACACACACACACACACACAAATAATTCAAAGTATCTTTCTAGGATAATATAATGGTAAAGCCATTGGCTGAATCAAGGATGACTATAGTTTCTGGTCATTTAGTGATTATAAAATATATCTTATCTTCTCAAACGAGCTTTTTCAAAACCATGTTATAACAGCTTTCAATTTCAACATTAGTGACCTTTATATAATTATGAGAATAAGCTATCCAAGTCACAGGGGTAATGATTCTCAGTGCAGCAGTACCTCCGACCAATAGCTGTTGTGTTATAGAATTTTATCATCTTATTATTCATCTTATTTCATCATCCTATTTTATCCTTCAAATAAAAAAATAAAGTACTGTAGCCAAATGTTAAAAAAAAAAGATTTTAAATCAGCAATAAAGAAATCAATAAAAATTTCAGTAAATTCATACCACTACCCTACTTCTACGGAAAGTTTTTCTACATTTTCTTATAGTGGTTTTGCTCCATCTCTTGTATAGCTACAAATATATTTATTGGAGTCCTACTAAATGCCGAAGATTCATTTAGTGCACATGTATTTTTCAGTGGGCATTAACACACGGGCATAGACAAAGGGCACTGACAAACTTAGAAGTGGTGATACTGCTCCCACTGGACACATGATAAAAGATAAAACATGGAGCCACTAAGTACATGCCAAATGCCTGGAGGCCGGCCCAGGAGCCAGGGAGCCTGCCCCACTGTCCACGACCAGTGCGCTCACCACCAGCTTGCATGCAGACACCCTCTGTAATCACTGACGCCAGCCAGGAGCCACAAAATGAGGAACCGAGAATCCAGAGATTCCCTCTAACCTCAGAGATCCTTTCAATGTTCCAGTGTCCACTGCCTTTCATCCAGAGTTGGTGCCTCGTACAGTAAGGGAACAGAGATTATAAATTGCAAGTTTTAAAACATTTAACAGGGCTCTCTACCTAGAAGCAGGATCGTGGATAAGTTAAACTTTTTCGTATTTCTCTATTATTTTTAACTGTAAGACCATATTTTTTATGAACAGGTGAAAAATGAAACTAGGTCTAACTGTTCAAACGGTAAGTGGTTCATTTAGAGTAGGAGATTTTAGAAAAGTGGCTCCTGTGACTAAGTTGATAGAAAGGTAGAAAGACAAAAGAGAAACTCAAAACAAAGAAAAATGTGATTAGAAGGCTTCAGAGAATGAAAATACTGAATTTAAAAATGAAATGCATGAATACAGGTATTTTGCATGAGTAAATTTTAGTAAGAATCCGCTCGTATTTCACATAGGCAAAGCACACAGTAAGTAGCACAAGTGGGTCTGACAAGAGCTCCTTGAAGAGAAGGGGCCTTGGTGGAAGATGCTCCTTGAGTGTGAATGCACACCTGGGTGAGCTGATAGCCAAGACGGCTCAAGCATTCGTGTTTGCGCCCAGTCCAATGCCCAGAATGGTTTACAGAGCATGTCTGTGCTTTCAGAGAAGAAATCACCTCAAAGACCATACTGCATCTTCAAGACCCAGAAGGATGAGCTCATTCACTCTCTTAGAACAATTTTTTAGTACATGTACAAGAATACAGTATTTTCTAAACATCAATAATCAAAAGCAACTGCTATGCCCAGAGCAACACTCAGCCAATGGCTACTTGGCACTAAGCATCCCCAGCAGGCCACACTTGGATCTGCCCTCCCATCTGTTTGCCGGACTACACAGAATACCCCTTCTCTACACCTTCACTCATTCAGCCCTTGCGAGGCAGACAGGAAAGACAGTGTTAATGTCTCCCATGGGTATTTTAAGTAAAGGTATTTCCCTTCTCTCATTTTACTTCTGATTTTCTTTTTCAAGGCTTTTCTTTCTTTTATTGACACTCTTAAAGTTCCTGAAAAAGTACACAAGAAGAAGGAGAAGGAGAAGGAAAAGGAGAAGGAGAAGGAAGGAGAAGGACAAGGAGAAGGAGAAGGACAGGAGAAGGACAAGGAGAAGGAGAAGGAGGAAGAGGAGCGGCAGAAGGAGGAGAAAGAAAGAGAAGAGGAGTAGGAAGAAACAGAGAGACAGCAGTGTGGTGAAGGCAGTTTTGGAGCTAACAGATCACACTGTAATTTCAGTCTTATTTTAACTAAGGAATTAACCTCTTAAGTCTTGGTTTCCTCATCTAAAAAGTTAACAATAGAACGTATTGATCAATTACAAAGATTACATAAAATACATAAAAATGACTCAATAAAATATGATAATTTTTATTCTCAGCATCAAATACAGGTCACTATGATGGTTAAGAGTATGAGTCATAACGCCTGACTTTGAATCTCTGTCCTTCCACTTCTTAGCTATTTTGGCAAATTATTTAACCTCTCATGGCCTCCTGACCACTCACATGGAGTTCTTGGAACAATTAAATAAGTAATACAATTAAACTAATTAGGACACTGTTTAACACAGAATAAATTGTCCATAAGCATTAGTTGTTATCATTAACTACAGACATCCAGGAAAGTTACTTCACATCAAATTTTAAAGTGTAAGACGTGACAAAAGCTATGAGTAAGCAATTTATACAAAAAAATGGATAAAAATATTAATGTGTTCAGTTTCATTTATTATTAAAAGAATACAAATTTGAAACAATTATTTTTCACTTCAGATTTTATAAAGATCAAAAGAAAGGTAATATTAAATGCTAGTAAAGCAGAAAAATTTGAACACATTATATGGATGACAGAAATGTAAACTGTCATATTTTTCACAAGACATTTGTCACTCTCTATAAAAAGTATTTCTAAAAAGGCATATTCTTTTGACTCGGCAATTCCATCCTTAGGACTATCTTTAGAAGGATTATTTACCAAAATAGGTATGCATATGTGAAAGGAACCAGAAATAGCCTACACACCCATCAATGGAAAGTGGTTAACATTCTCACCAATACAATGAAAGACAGCCATACAATGCCGAAGCTCTACAATTACAGAAATGAAAACACATTATGTCTTGTTAAAAATAAGCAGAATATTAATATGACATTTTTACTTTTAAATACAGAACAAAATCACACACAGAGTTATATATTTATCTGCTCATACTGAAAAAATCTGAAAGATATTACTGACTATATCTGACAAATAGGGTGTACATGCACTACATAAATTTTTGCAATACAGCTGAGCCTTTTCGTTTTGACATATTTTTTTAAAAGCATAAGAATAAGTAATGGTTAAAAGCACAGATTCTGAAGTACACCTGCATTTTCATATCTACCATCTACCCACAATGGTACCTGTCTGCCTCAGCACCTCCATTTGCCAAGGAAAGATCGCACAAATACCAACGATATCCGTATACACAATAATAACGTTATGTTATAGAGCTCTAAGTGAGTTCCCAAATGGAAAGCCCTGAGGACACACAGCACAAAATACGAACGTGTCCACTACTACTACTCTGGGGTAACATTCTTAAAAGACACTACACCAATCAAGCCACCTCCCAGAAGCCCGCAGGAATCCTAATGCAACCAGTAAGGTTACCAGTAGACAACAATATTTCGGTGTTATAACCAACAAGCAGTCTAGACCACAGATTCCAGCCCAGCTCTTCTTTATCACTAGTTAACTCATCTCTCAAGGGAGGAAGCTGACTTACATAATTTGACAAATTCTAATATCTTAACAAGACAACTTCACAGCTTAAAATTATAAATCTTTATCGTTGCCTCAGAAATATACTTCAAGTCAGGAGATCAGAATCTGAAATACAGGCCCCATAAGAGAACACAGTCTCCTTCAACAGCAGTCTCCTAACTGTAGAGAAAAAGACGTCTTAGTTACTCTTCTCACTGCTGAAACAAAATACTTGACACTCCCAGTTACGGGAGGAAAGATTTATTGCAGCTCAGTTCGCAGCGGTTTCAGTTCATAGCTGGCTCCAAGGCAGTACGGCGTGGCAGAGGGCATCTCAGAGAAGGCAGCAAAGCAGCAAGGAAGAGACAGCAGACAGCAACAGCAGCCACCCTCTTTCTACCCACTAGACCCTACCCAGGCTGCCCATCCTTGGGGCAGACAGCACTCGCACCCAGGGCGGGCCACCCTTAATCCGAGCACAGCACCATGAACCAATCCTAGCAGCACATCCGTGATCCCAGCACCACACCCCCTAGGTCCAGCGACCTCTGAAAAGCCCCTCCTATGGCCCCGTGAGGCTCTGGGTGGACATCTAGATATAAGCCATAACAAAGGACTTCCTCCACCTGAACATAACCCAATTACATTTCCTTCCAAGCACTCTGTAAGTCATGCATTCCGTTCCCTTAAGAGTTACACCTCATCTATCCCACCTGCCCATGCCACAAAGCCAAATCGGTGGTATTTTATTCTACATTCACCAAGACTCTACAATTTCCTAACTACACAGAGGACCAGTAACTTTTTCCCACTTGCTGAAAATTTAAATACACTTCACAGTACAAAATGTCATGCACACATGCACACACACACACACACACACACCAACAATAACAGCAGCAGCAGCAATAAAACGTACTAAGCACTTACCCGGAATGCTGCGAGGATGATTCTCGTTACTTTCTCTTTGACAGACTCTTGAAGGATGTCAGAGAGAACAGGAATGATGTTGTAGCGCCGCAGGTGTTCACACATTTGAGGACTGAATGCCAGGAGCCATATTGAAAAAATCATTTGATACTGGAGTTGAAAGCCGCACTTGTTACTCAAAACTCCCATTATGCTGAAAAGGAACATAATTAGAAGACATTCAGGATGATGGCAGAACAGAAAGAAATGAGAGGCCATTCTCTTTGTTCAATAACAGGGCAAGTCTCTGAACTGTATGCTCAGTTTCCTCTCTGCCAGCAGTAACTGCAAGGGCCATTTCCAGAACCGCTCCACTCACCCTCGCTCCAAAACCACAGAACCTCGCTGGGTGTGGCGGCGCACGCCTGTAATCCCAGCACTTGGGAGGGAGGCTGGGGCAGGAGGATCATTTCAAGTTCGAAGCCAACCTGGGCTACAAAGTGAGCTCAAGGCCAGCCTGAACTACATAGTGAGATCCTGTCTCAAAAAGACAAAAAAAAAAAAAAACCACAGAACCTCGAGAAGCGGAAGCAGGAAGCAACAAGAAGGGAACCAAGACTTGCAAGGGCACAGGACGCGAAAGACTGTGACCCAGAATGAACCTCAATGGGAGGTGGTGGCAAAACAAATGCGCACCTGCCGGTCAAATTTCACACCCAGATTCTCAGCATGGACACCCAAGAGGACAGCTTCACAACACGAAGGAAACTCAGAAAAAGGAGGGCACGGCTTTAGGAACCTGCAAGGAGTCCACATTTGACACAGCCATCACAGAATTTGGGGTCAGAAAAAAGCCCCAGACGCGTCCAGCTTTAGCTCTTATTTCACCAATAAGAAAATGCAGAAGCTTCACGGAAATGAAAGAGGTTCTCCCAAGGAGAGAGAGAACACGTACACCAGAAGACAGCCTAGGAAATTTCCCGAGAGAATATCTGCATTCAGACAACGAAAGTCAGAAATGGTCCAATAAGACCATTTAAAATGCCCAGCCGGGACAGTGTTCAACACAGCGACCCCCAATATACACACGATGGGCTTTTGTTAATGACAGCGACCAGCACTGATTCTGCTGGCACAAATGCATCATAGGTACAAAGTGTAACAACAAGGAGTGCTCTGGAGGGGCGGGCACGTGGGCGCTCCCTATGCTGCCAATGGTTCTGTAAACCTAAGGCTGCCCTATTAAGAAGAAGGAAAAGTTGCTTGAAGCCTAATTTTATAATGTAAGCCTACCATTAACTTGTTAGAAGGCTTGTATCTGTGCTAATTCTCTATTTTTGTGATTTATATGCAGTTCTAAATTTACTGAACTGTCCTCGATTTTCTCATGTATGGCTTCTCCTTTGAATCTCCTCCAGACTGGGTTGTTACATAAAACTTACATTTTAAAATACTGATACTAGTATCTCAAACACTACAAAATTGTACCATTTTATGCTGTCACCTTTCTACTACCTGGTTCCTTTGCTCTCTGACTACCCCAGTTACTAAATTTCTACCCTTGGCTTCTGATGCTGAGACCCTGGGAACCCCATCTCTGCTGTACCTGCTGGCTCCTGTGAGGCTCTTCCGAGGGTCAGAGGCGGCTGCCTGCAAAGATGGAGCGAGGAGGACCTCTCCCCTCTTGGCTTCCTATTCCTACGAGCCTCACCTCAACAGCACTTCACAACCCAGAGCATGAGTGCCTTCCCTCTGAAGCAGCCAAATTCGGCTTGTTTCCCCAGTTCTAAAAGAAATGTTTTCATGTGACTTCAGACAGCAGGTCTAGCCAACGGGGCCCCGGCAAGCTTGGGAGGAGGTTGAAACTGAGTTACCAGGTGACCTGGCTACTGATGATGACTTGGATGTGAGCCGCAGAAGGGAGCAAGCTATGACAGAGAAGTGCAGAATGAAGATCGTGATTCAGGTGACCAAGAAAAGGGTAATGTAAATAAATATGCCATTAGTCAAAATGCTACATAATGGTCGCGTACACCTGAATGATCCAATGTTAGAAGTAGGTCAGAAAATGTTAGGTCCTTGGCAGGGATTGAAACCTATTGGACAGAATGCCAGCACTGCAATTTAATGTTGGAAATTGTAATGCACGATACACTACAAGATGCTGTGATACATACAAATCATGGAATGAAGGTAAAACGTTCTGTATGTACCGACAGTCAGGCTCAAAAATGTATTTATTATGACACCTCACTATCTGAATTGAGCTAGGCATGGTGGTGCACACCTGTAATCCCAGCACTAAGGAGGCAGAGGCAGGAGGATCACCAGAAGTTCAAGGCCACCCTGAGCTACATAGTGAGTGCAAGGCCAGCTGGAACTACACAGTGAGATCCTGTCTGGAAAAAAAAAAGCATTCCTAGGATTGCTGTACTCAGCAAGGCATTTCTCATGGTAATCACAGAATGTAAGATTCATGGAGAAGTAATGGGTATGGACTTGAGGTCTGCAGCATAACAGTGACACTGAGATTTGATTTCCTTCAAAATGTCTGGTTTGATGACAAAACCACCCACCAAGAAAGAAAATGAACTCATAATCCAGCTGCTATCCCTTCACTGCTGGAAAAGAGCTTTTACTCAAACTGTCGAGGCATTTACATACCATCTGAATACACTACTACTGATGAAAAGCCTGCTGCATTTTGTGGTCATTGTAGCTTTAGGCAATATTTGCCAAACAAGCCTTCAAAATACAGTATAAAAGGGCTGGGGATGCTAGAGGCACAGTGCCTGCCTGGCAAGCGTGAGGCTGTGAGCTCGATTCCTGGGGGCGGGCTGCAAAATACAGTATAAAAATATATGCCCTGGTAGATGCAAAGACATTATCCTGGAACTCCACCACCAGGTCTCCATTAGTGCCGTAAGAAACCAAGTGATGTTGTAAAGAGGCTTGTTGTCCCTATCTCCCACACTGATCAGAACGTGACATCCAACGACTGCTGTGCCGGTTTCTCACCGGTGTCACATTTGCGAAGAAAGCATCAGCTGGCCAGCACAGGAACTACGTGCAAGGACACAGCGGGAATTCCCAGTGAAATCTTACAAGTTCAGAACAGAGCACTGTATAGTACAGTCTTCGGATTTCAGAGACAGAACATTGGCCTCGTACATGGCAAAAAAAAAAAAACTGGCACTAGTGATGCCCACACTGCACCGTGATGGCAAGACTAAGAGAGAGACCGTGACACAAATGAACCCAGAGATGGTAACGTTTTACCACAAAGTCAAAAGCAGAGTAGATGTTGATGACTTATGCAGCAATGATGATGTCACCCAAAACACAAAGGATGGGCCAGTGAGTGTATTTTACTCTACCCTAACATGTCTGGCATAAACAGTTTAAAAGTTTACAAAGAAAGTAAGTGCAAAATATCACAGTGAAATTTTCTTAGAGGCTCGGGACTGGAACTGATACAAGATCACTTACAACAGAGGAAGAACAGAATATTTTAGCCAAGGAGCTATGTAAGGGCTGGGGATATAGCTCAGTGGCACAGAGCCTGCCTGGCAAGCACACGGTCCTGAGTGCGATTTCCAGTATCAAAAAAAAAGGAACTATATAAAAAAATTCTGGAGCAGACTGGAAAACGGAGAGGTGAACAGGCAAGTGCAACATCACAAAGACTTACTAGGACAACAGGAGAACAGAAAAGATGTCAACTCTAAGACGCCGTACAAAAAGGACAGGAAAACAACACATACATGCTATGTGTATGCGCATGTAACTAGCTGTGCCATATGTGCTATGCATATTCTGTACGAAACATGCAGTATATTGTGTATGGAGCATATGTGGAACATGTGTAATATGTATGGAACATGCAGGTGTCATGTGTGAAGACTGCCTTGGTTGTGATAATTGAAGCAAAGATTATTTCTGTGGTAGACTTTTGTTTGTATTTCCATTGTAGTTCACAGAAGAATTCATTTTTGCTGTTCTTTTTTAGGTTTTGTAAGTAAGTGTACAGTTTATGTTGAAAATGTTGGTGCACATTCTAAACACTCATTACATATTTGATATTTTATTTTATTAATATTTTCTTTTCCTAAGTGCACATTTTACAATGTAGTAAGAAACTCCTGACAAAAGAGGAAGGCATGAGGTGACACGTGTGGGCTAGCACACAGGAAAGGAAAGCTAAGCACATGCGTTTGCAGTGTAACCCAAGACTTGTGTATGGTGTCGTCACGTGTGAAGACTGCCCGGGTGTGACAAGTGAAACAAAGATCGTATCGGTGGTAGACTTGCTTGTATTTTCATTGTAGATCTTGTAGGAATTTATTTCTGCTGCTCTTTTTTAGGTTTTGTAAGAAAGTATACAGTTAACACTGAAAATGTTAATATGTATTCTAAACACTCATTACATATTAAAAATTTAATATCCTATTGATATTTATTTTCCTTTTAAGTATACACTGTTTAATAACTCACAAAACTGAAATTAATAATTTGTCAATAGTTATACTTCTAAAAAAATAAACATAGGCCTTCCATGCCCCCATAACACATAGATCGCAGACGTCTGCACGATGCCTCCATTAATAAACTGTGTATCTGCAAGCCTGGTGTGGCTCTCTGCATCACTGAGACAGTCACAGCATGAAGCTGTGGAAGCCTAGAAGCTAACTTTGCCAAGTGTTAATACTTGCTGACCAGACAAATAAACTTCTTGAAAGGAAAGGACACACATCATGTATCCCCTATAGTTAGTAGCAAAACACTATGCAGAAAGCTTACGAAGTAAAAATAGGTATCATATTCAAGATTACAAAGAAATTCAAAATCACTGTTAGTACTCTGCGTTATGTTTTTTTTCCTTTCAATCAAACCAGTATAGTGCGTGGAGAGAGGGTAGCTGGCTGCCTGGCTGAAAGGCGCTGCCCGGAGGCCGCTGCCCTGCACAGCAATGGCCCCTCACACCTCCTCACGCAACGTCACCCAGTAAGGTAAGGTTTCAACTACTTTTTAGAAAATCTTTTTTATTTTACAGAGAAAAAGTAAAAACAATAAAGCAGAATTTCAAAACAGATTAGTAGGAGAGTAACAATAATTAATACACACTGTCTTTGTAGTAGTGATTCAGAGTACAAGATACAGGCATGATATCTTGTCCAAACAATACGGGCACAAACCTTTCTTTTCAATGAACTAAGAGAACCTAGCCGTATATCTTAACTATCTTGTGTATAAATATATTTTTTCCCTGTCTTCCTTCCCCCTTTCCCCCATCATAGTTCACAAGAAAAGACAAACTGTGATGGGAGAAATTTCACCTTTAAACTTTGTGTTAGTTTACACCTTCAAAACACTTAAAAGTGAAGGATATAAATGTTCACAAATGCTAGCTGAATTTGTGGAGGTAATTACTCCCAGGAAACACCCACCTTTGGGGCTCCAGTACTTTTTAATGAGTATGGTATGACCAAAAAATATGGCTAATGCTTAAGGGTTTAAAAATGTATTGCCGAGGGCCAGGGATACAGCTCAGTGGCACAGTGCCTGCCTCACAAGCGTGAGGTCATGGGTTCAATTCCTAGTACCAAAAAAAAAAAACAAAAAACAAAACAAAAAAATGTATTGCCATGAAATTAATCCCCCTACTCTTTCTCATGTCAAACACGCTTACCCCACTGCTCCTGCCACTTTCTGAAGCAGTTCTGGAAGTCCCCTTTCATGACTGTCTTTAGTGGCACTGTTACACCTGCCTTGATATTCAGATTCAATTCAAAACATTTACCTTTCACGGTGATTTTTATTTTGGGGAATAGCCAGAAGTTGCAAAGTGCCAGATGTGGTGACTAAGGTGAATGGGCACGGGTAACGTTTTTGTGATCCTGCCTTTCCACTGGATGGCACTCAGCAGCACCTTTCACTGTATTTTTTAGGGCACACCTCACAAAGACACCAAAGAGGACTTCCACAACTATTTCAGAAAGTGGCAAAAATTATAGGATAAGAATACTTGAAGCACGGGAGAACACTCTGAAGGGGATGTGTGGCAATGCATCTTTTAAGGAACTCTTTTCCATGTAAACATTCACCCTGTATTTTGATACAACTCCTAAGCCTTCAGTGTGTAGAGAAAGATCAACAATATACCACATAACGCAAGTACAGCTGTCATCTTATGTAGGTATATAACTACCCAGAAACCATATGCACTATGCAAATAATAGGCCACTTCACCAAAAGAGAGTAGCAGACTACATTGATTAAAATGTACTGAGATTTTAAAACATCATTTATCTTCCTCTCTTTAAACAAGTTAACTTGAAATTTTTTCTTCTCACATTATTCCTGCTTGTTGAGAAGCCCAAAAACAAAAGTTATCAATCCTAAGCAAAAGAAATGAAAAGTAGAAAGTACATTTTATTTCTGAAAAATGAAAAGATTAAATGACTTTTCTAAATTGCTACCTATCAGCAAATTAAGAACTTACACCTTTACTAATACCTGTTCACAACCCTGATCTTGGCACCAACCTCCAGATAGTACAAAATAAAATTCTGCTGTTAATCTACTCAAGCTGTAATATTTTGGTTTAGATAGATACTTTCCTGTCAGGAGTCTGGAATTCAGATGCATTACAGGCAAATGTGCCTATATAACCAACTGTAAGTAAAACCCTTAGGAGATGGGTCTATAACAGATTTCCTAGACAGAAATCTCACAAAAATATTGCATTTCCACAGCTGGGGAAGATGCCCTCAATACAACCTCATGGCAGGGCAAGAGCAGGAAGCAGCTCGCACAGCTGCACGTGGATTCCTCCCAACTCAGCTTGTGTCTTTGTCCCTTATGACTCAACTACGTATCTCACCAAGTCTTTGCAGCCATTCTTAGCTGTGAGGACCAGCTGCTGATTCCTGTGAGTCTTTCTGCTGAATCTCCTGACACAGTGTGAACACAGCTGAGAATTCACAACTTCTTGTTTGCTAGCCATGATGGCAACTTACAGAAGACAGCACCTCCTAATTAGGTCAATTAGAAGACGAAAGCCAAGAAAGAAACAGCGTTCTGTCCCTTAACACTGACGGTAACATGGTTCATACAAGTGACACCAGAAACTGGATCTGCAGGTGACTATACACTTCCTCACATTCAAAAATGAATAGTTAGCCATAAATTTTTCAAAATACAATATTCTCACCAAGTTGGCATGAAAGACTTTCAACATGAAAGACTTCAAGCAAATATTCTGTAACAAAACCTAGTCCATTCTACTCAGTGACAAATAGTGATTTTCTTTCATCTTTTATGATCATCATGCATCAAAGCTTACTTATTACAACAAAAGTTGCTAGGTTTAAAATTTGTAATAGTTGTTTTCACTTTCTCTTTTTTCTTAATTCTGTTAATTTTTCATAAAAAGACTAAAAACATCCATTTTTAAGGACCTATTGGACCAGATGAACACTACCCATATTTTTACTAGAGACTGCGGATTAAATAATTTTGAATAGATCAAAATTTTGCAGATTAGAACAAGAATAATTACTAACTTCTCAGTCAATGAAAAGAAATATTGGTGACAATTTAAGTCCAATTCCTGACTAAGAGTAACCATGAAGAACAGCCATTTGCAGAAGTAACATGCTCTACAACACTGCACATGCGTGTTCACTGTATCAGTCTATAATGTTCATATCCTTTCCCAGGTACTTCCCGACACTGGAGATATAACAGCGTGGGAGAATCTGATGCATCATTCAGTCACTTCTTATTCTAGGTCCTTGCTCACCAGGCAATCTGCTATCAATAATGTAACTCCTGGCAGGCTTTCCAACAGAAAAAAATGCCCAGAGAAAGAGCATTTGAGGGGCTGGGGATTTAGCTCAGCAGCACAGTGCCTGCCCAGCAAGCACAAGGTTGTGAGCTCGATCCTTGCTACCAGAAAAAAAAAAAAAAAAAAAGAAAGAGCACTTGGCTTAAAAAGAGTTTAGTCTCTCATCATGCAATAAACTGGCTTTCCAGTGATGAAACGGAATCCAATGTTCACTTTGGGGTTTTTTCGGTCATTCTGCTGGTTGAGAAGTTGGTAGCCAGCTCCTCAAAGTTTCTGTACCTACCAAGGACTCCACAAAGAATGGGCTAAATTATATGGAGAATGGTTTTAAATTTTATTTAGGAGAATAGTTAATACTCACTCTTTTCTGGGTAAGACCTTTCCTTATTGCCACTGCCAACATGCACCGTAAAATATTTTTATAATTGCTTTGTGTTCTGAGTACAGGGGGTTTGTTCTGTCCAGTTTTAGGTTCTACAGCCCAAGCAAGGGGAAACATTCAGTTTGACTGCTGACTTCTAAGAAGGTTAGTATAATCCACTGTTAAACGGATATTTTAAAAATACTTCTTTTACATGATTAAATATATTAATTTCCTTGAGAATGTCAAGGAGAAATATTTTTAAATGTTATTCTACATCAGAAGTAAAAGGCACTCACCAGTTTACGCCATCTGCTTCCACCCAGGCAAAGCGGTACTCATTGACCCGGAGCATCAGCTGCAGACATCCGGCAACACACTGCACGTACTGCGAGCTCTGCACAGGAAGAAACGCACTTCTAAGGCTGGAGACCATTTCACGTCGTCAGATAATACACACCTATTTCTATATGAAAAGTTTAATTTTTCACCAAAATCTGCTAACATCAGAGCATACAAAATTCCTTTTCAAAAGGTGATCCTCATGTTTGCTTCTATCTCCACCTCTTAGAAATAAAGATGATTTTGTCTCCCACTCTAAATCTACATGATTCAAGACTACTTAACACACATATTTAGGAAAATCAAGGAACAAAGTAGTTACATCTTGATGTAGTTTGATAAATAAGCATATTGCCTTGCATCATTTCACACACCTCTGAACAGCAGCACGACAGAAAGAAAACCCAGCTTCCAAATAATTATACAAAAATAAAAGAACAATAAAAATGACAAAAAGGAAAGTGGATGCTTTGAGGCAGACCTAAAACTAACTTTAGCCAAATTAGTTAACTTTTCCAATACAGACTCAAATTCTTCACCCTTAGAGGCCAACACCACCAAGTATCCTAAAAGGGCATTGCTAGGTTTAAGGGAACTAGTTCATTTAGCATACAACTAGACATATTGTGGGAACACAATGAAAACTTTAAAAAAGTCTAAACAAACACTTATAAAAAGACAATCCACAATCTCTTAAACTGTCTGTTCAACAGCACTGTCTCATATAAACTGTCCTTATTTGAAACTTGAAATAAACAGGAATCACATCTCCCCAAAACTGCAATCCCCTTACCAAATCTAGCAGAACACCAGCCTGAGCCCTTCTCTAAATATTTACAATGAGCCTTGTATCTTTAAGAAGCAGAAAGATAAAAGGAAATTTCAGACTCTAGTCTTCATAAACAATATGGTAATAAACATTTTTACAGTAAAGAATCATAGACATAAAAATTAACAAAACCTAACATACATGACACTACTAAGCTCTTCTAATTTAAACATTTGCAATAAACTAACACTTCCAAGAAATTCTTAGCATTCAAATACAGAAACAATTATGTAAGTACATTTGGTAGAAAGACAAATGTTACCAAGAAATATTTAACTTATGCTCTACCTAAAAGTAGCGAACATTATTTATACAATACATCCAAAGAACTCAAAACATTAGCAGAACTTAAAACATTAGCAGCAATTAATGATAAAAAATAGTGTGCTTCCAACTGTAAAATAACCTTCCATAATGGAAAAAAATATGCTCTTTCCCAATTAAGTCAGCAGAAACAAATTGTTAGTTAAGAAGGGAATCCCATCTTTCCTGTTTAAAACAATTTGAGCAAGATTTCCAGACATAAATGAATAAAGAGCCAACTAACAGCACTCTCTCTTCTTCTAGGCACCCTCAGTCTCCTAACTCAAAACCGCCCTGCCCAAGGCTCATCTCCTCTGCGTCCACTCCCCACGCTATGCTGCGGTGTACACTGCAAGTACGGATTCCTGGCTGTCAGTTACAGCGTCAGTGTTCACATTATAAAAGAGCTTACGCAAGGTGCTAACCTATAGCTGACAGTACTCTCTCCTACTAGGCCCAATGAGGCAGTTCTTATACCACCCCAGAGATTACTTTCAAGTATAAAGTGACACAAGCTTGGCTAAATGTCTGAATTCCAGTAGAGTACATCAGTTTTTGCCTTTCACTTAAATCTTCTTACTTTCTCGTATCAACTATTCAACGATTCTTTTCAAGAAAGTAATTGGTCTTAGAGCAAACAATCAGTCACCATTTCTAATCCTACAAAAGTGTAATTCATGTTTCATAATCTAAACAACTAATTTGAAGACAACAATATGCAACATGACAACCACTGTTGAATTCCTACCATCTTGTTTAGCAAAGCTCTGTATCATTTCTAATTTTTTTTATTACTTTTTGTTCTCTTTGATTGTTTGATCCATCTTGCATTCTTACATATGGTGATCTGAGCAACCTCACTGAAGATAACAATGTGTAATGTAACAACCATTGTTGATTCCTATCATTTTGTTTTGAAATCCTGTATCATTTTTGTTAGTTGTGTGTTGTTTTGTTTTTGTCTTTGTTGCTGTTGATTTTTTTCTCTTTAACATAAAAAAATTTTTTAAAGTGTAATTCAAGAGGCAGGCCACAGGCGCCCGCCCAGGAGATAGCACAGCCTGGACACACCGGCCCTTTCGGGCCCGGCACCCCAGCCCTGCAGACGCCAGGGAGGCAGGCAGACACTAGGCACCCAGGAAGTGGTGCAGTGACGCACGCTAGTCCAAGGGCTGGCCACTGCCGCGCGGTCAAGAACCACCATGCCACGGAGAAGCACCAACACAATAGACCCGCCCAGAGACATGCATGAACCATCCCAACATGGAGAAACCTCTGGGAAAACATGCCACACGGCGGGTCGCTCTCGGCCCTGCCCTTGAGAGTGAGAAAGGTACGGAGTCAGCAGAGGAGCAGCTGATGAACAAGGACTTGGAGAACATGAGAGCACCGTCGCCCGATGACTCAGAGGTCGAGCTGACTGGGGATGTGAGAGCAGTTCGGGAGCTGGAGACCAGGAGGACCTTGCACAATACCCGGGGAGAAGCCCTGGAAGCCATTCTTCCCCTGACAGTACAGGCTGTGGTGGAGAAGCGAGTGGAGCTCCGGAGAGGTCTGCACTGAGACTTCATGGATTACGTGGGTGCCCAATATTCAGATTCTGAAGAACAGCCTTCATGGAGGAGGTACATGTCTAGATTGCCTGCCTGGGACACTTCCCACCTGATGATACTGAGACTGACTAGCGAGCCGAGGACTTCATCCACATGTTCCTGCTGCCTGTGTTGATGGTTGGGGAGAGGACACTAAGTGGCTGCGGGATCCCAATGCACTGGGAGGCTGGAAAGAACACCCCTCTGCTTTCTTAGACAAGAGGCACTGATAAAGCATACTTCCCTGGATCCCAGGTCGGTAGAGGGACAAACTATTCTTAAAGGTAACTTTATTACTCAGTCAGCCCCAGATAGTAGAAAAAGCTACAAAAAATGGCTTTTGCCCCAGATAGCTCACTTGAGATGTTAGTAAGAATTGCCTCCTCAGTATTTTATAGCTGTGAGGAGGCGGTGGCCAAGGACAGAAAACAAAGAGACCAAGAAAAAACAGCTGCCTTTGTTGCAGCACTAAGAGAAACAGACCCTAAATCTGATTCTCGGGGCCCCAAGAAGAACTTGTCAACTACATTCATCTGCTACTGCTGTCAAAAGCCAGGCCACCTCAAGAGGAAATGCCCTAAGAAGGCCCCTGGAGATCCGTCTGCCCTCTGAAGCGGAGGCCCCAGAGCTCAGACCCATCCTATCAGTTAGTCCAACAGGAATGAGAGGGCCTGGGGCATACTCTGCCTTCTCCCTCTGGCCAGACTGTCATCTCTATGGAGGAGCCCGGGGTAATCATGACTATGGAGGAACAAGAAAACAGCCTGTTGCTAGACACAGGTGCTAGTCTCTCGGTCCTTCTTTTCAATCCTGGCCTTCCTTCCAGCCATCACACCTCAGTGAAAGGAGTCACTGGTAAGGAGGTAATACGCTATTTTTTCACAACCCTTAGGCTGTAACTACTTGTTAGACCTTTCTTGCATATCTTTGTTTTCCTGAGAAACCACTTGGAAGATACCAACATGTATTACAGCAGCCATTGATAATTTCCTACCAATCTGTCCATAACTCTGTAGTTTCTATTGTTCCTGTGCTATTTCATAAATGGATGTATGTTTATTACTATGTGTTTTCAACAACAACCATTGAGAAGTCAATGATTATTTAATTGATCACTCATGTACAGCTCTATTTGTTTTTCCTAGAAACCACTTTGAAGAAACCAATGTATAGTACAACAACCATTGATAATTTCCTATAAAAAAAAAGTGTAATTCAATACCACTAAAGAAAATCACACAACCATGCAAAACTATAAGCACCCTCTGCCATTCCCAGGGACATCAGTCACTTTCCTCTGCTACTCTCTTCCCTCACTCTCAGCAGGCAATAGAAATAGAGACCACATGTTAAAGATTCATTAAGCTACAAACATCTCCCCCTAAGCTGATTCACTTTTCCAGCTGTTATTACTGATCCCTAACGCAAGGCAGCCTCAGCTAGGTCTGTATCCCTCTCCCCCTACATCAGGCTCCACCAGCCAGATTCTTCTCCTACAGGTTCAGCCCTTCCTTCCTTCCTTCCTTACACTTTCCCAGGCTAGCATGAGCAAACCTGAGCAGCTATGAGACCCTCTGTTGACCAGTATCAAGGGACTCTGTGTTTCTGTTATAGATGGTGCCAAAACTGTATTGAAAGAATTGACTGTGCAATTATTCATTTAATGTCATATTCCCAGACACAATGTAGCCCTCTAAAAGTAGGAACCACAACTAACTTGTTCAATATTATACTTTTAGCACCATGCGCTATAATTAGGAACCACTCAATAAATCTTTCTTGAATGGATGAATAAACAAAAGAAAGTACAAATAAACTCTCTGCCTTACACTAATTCTAAATGAATGGTACACAGTATGATGTAATAGTCTAAAGGTCTAAAAGTTTGCTGAAAATTTGTATACTGACAATCAGCAATACTGCAGAAATACACACAATACAGTGCTATCACCATATCCCATTTTGGAGCCAAGAATTATCCAACTGATTGTTAAAAGTATTTCCCTAAGGAATTACAGACCTTATAAAGATGTCTATTTCTTTTTAAATTTAAGTCATTTCAATTTGAGAATGAACATAAATTACTAAATCAACTCTGAGTTTACTCCATGTTCCCCTACTTTACCAGGAAATATTTACGGTGACAAGGGCTCATGTAGCTAGTTTCTATTCAAATCACTAAAGTAATTCATGTCTTCAGTAAACTGGGACCTGTATTTGAACTGAATTATCCAGAATACATTCAAATAATACAGATGTAACAGTGTTAACAAAACCAGAAAAGGACACAAGAAAAAGGAAAACTCTAGACCAGTATCCCTGATAAATACA